CTCCTGGGGCAGGTCAAACTTCCTGAGCTGGCGCAGGAAGTACATCCTCTGCTGTGCCTTCTTGATGATGGTCCTGATGTTGGACATCCACTTCAGGTCCTGGGAGATAGTGGAGCCCAATTCGACAGTCCTACTCCAGCCTCCTTTCATGTATGAGTGCATGAATAAGGTATATCTGGGGAAATGTCCTCTGGTTTGGTCCCCCAAAATAAACTAAAGACTTTTGTGATTCAGTTTCATAGGAAACAGTCATCTGGCCTGGAATAAGGAAAGGAGGGGGTTTACCTCATGCATTTCAATTAGAACTCCTTTAACATTGCTGGAGAGATTAAAAATGAAAGGATCAAAGTGGGTGAGGGCTACATTATCTGCAATGCAACTCTATATCCTCAAGTTTGGTCTGAGGTTGAGGTGTGTTTTGCTGCTAGTATTGAACCAGATGGCTTCAAGTGGAGATGAGGAGTGGGACACAAAGGTCTGGTAAACTCATCATCTCCACACCCCCGGGTCATATGGCTGACTGCTGGCAATAGCTGCAGCCAGAGGCATCATGTTTTCAGGTTGCCTGACCATCAGTCTGTCCATATGTCCATCCATCTGTGCCATTCTTATGAATGTAGTATCTCAGAAATGCCTTAAGGGAATTTCTTCAAATTTGCCATAACTGCCCACTTGAACTCCACCATGAACTGATTTGATTCTGTTGGTCAAAGGTCAAGTTTATTGACCTGACATCTGTCCCTGTCCCATGAATTTGACTGGCTGTCAGAGGAATACAAGCGCAAAGTGGTGATTCTAGTTTTCACTTTCAAAGTTAAAGTGTTCCATCCCCTTGACACTTGAATCTATCACATTTTGCTCTGACAAAGTGTGAAATCAATGGGATTCTTCTTTAAGTTAAAAATACCATACCAACTGGCTTAAGTTGTGATGAACAAACAAAGGCGTCTCTATTAAATAATGACTCTGGCTAATTTAATCAAATAATAGCTGGATCAAAAATGAAATACAAATTCATTCACACTTAGATCAAATCAGTACATTTTTGTGAAATCCAATACTCATAGTGACCTTGGGTGTTATCTTTTCCTCCACATACTACACACAGTAGGCAGTCTCACTGTCTCTGAAGCCCTTTCACAGGTCATGATCAAGTTGAGAATGCAAATCAAAACTGTGAAACTGTGAATGTGATAAGTTAAGGCTGCTCAGGCTTGTTTTTTGTTGGTGAACAGGATGACACTGGTGACTCACCAGTCAAATTGAAATGGCATTTCATTGTTTGGCTGTTCTTATAGTGTGGTGGACAAAAAAAGGAAAGTTCCTTTGGTTAGCTCCCCATGTGCTTCTCAAAGTTCAAATTCAAAAAGTGTAATGAAGCTAATTAATTTGTGTAGCATCTAATTATCAGCATGTGAGTGTGCAGTAGCATCTGCACCAGGAAAGGTCAGCTCAGACTTCTGAGTCAGGCCTCATTGCTGAGTTTCTAATTCACAGAAAATATTGAAACAGACAAGAAAGGCCGAATTCTAACCAGTACTGGAGTTTTAAATTG